TGGGGGACACAGGGGAGGAGTTAGAGTGGACTGTGGGGGACACAGGGGAGGAGTTAGAGTGGATGGGGGGACACAGGGGAGGAGTTAGAGTGGACTATGGGGACACAGGGGGAGAAAGTTGGACTAGGGGACTCCGGCTCCAGTTAGTGATGATTTGAACCCTTGGATTTACCATTGCCCCTATTCCCTCGTTTCCCACAGTTTGTTTTGTGGTTGATAATTAGTTATGATTCACTTTTCTTTTTAGTGAACGTCTTAAGATGTAATTAAGCTTGTGTTTCATTGCCCATTTTTGGAGAGGTGGGTAGAAAATTGGAGGCTTACTGAGGCCCTGCTTGGGCCTAAAGGCCGTGACCCCGTGCTGCTGTGTCTGTCCCGCTCCTTGTGGAAGGAGCAGCCAGCCCTGGCCACTGAGAGGGAGCCAGTATTGAGGGGCCTCGCTCTCTTTTCCATGTGCTTGTCTCTCGGATCCCACGAAGCTTCCCTCGAAGTCTGCATGTGTCCTGTGTACACTGAGACTGAATTGTGGATCAGTCATTTTTGTGCTCACTGATCCCTCAACTGACCTGTTTTTGGTAATACCCCCAAACAGTGCCTGAGGACGTGCAGGGGCACATTGAGGGTGTAGCTGCAGATTGTGAGCAGCTAGGTTCCCTGCCTGACACATGCCAAGGGGGTGCACACCACTGGGCACTAACGCCACCCTCAGTCCCTCACCCCATGTTGTGCCTGATCGACAGGTACTCATACCCCCTTTGCTGCCTGCAAGAAGGAGGCAGGGTAGGAGCCCAGACACAAGCCCCTAAGACCCCAAAGCCCAGGGCCATCTGTTCCACTCGGGCCCAGTTCCGCGGTTTCTGAGGGCAGGGCTCGTGTGTCTGGGGTGCAGGGTCCACCAGCCTGCGTGCACAGTATAGCTGGGCTCTGGGAGTTCTCAGTGCTCCTGTGCAGAGATACCAGGTGGATTGCTCCAACACTCACATTCATTCTCTCTGTTTGTTATTGTTGTGAAGTGCCATCGAGTCAGTTCCGACCCATAGTGACCCTGTCTAGGCTTTCCAGGGAACGGCTGGTGAGCTTGAACCACCGACCTTGCAGTTCAAACTGACTCTGCCATCCAGTGCATTAACCCCCAGTGCCACAATTTAGGAGGCTAGAAATGCAAATTCCGAGCGTCAGCTCTCAGAAAAGCCTGTCTCTCTGTTGGCTCTGGGGAAAGGTCCTGGTCTCTGATGAGCAGCTGTAGGCCCAGCGTTCCTGGGCGAACTCCATACACCCAGGCATCAGTCTTGTCTGGATCTCGGAGCTTCACAGTATAGGCAGCCCAGGGCCAAAGGACGTCCTCCCTCCACCCCGGGCTCTTGGACCTTATCGGTAGGAATCCCTTCATTCTCTGCTTAAGTTTCTCTCCCGTCATCTCCTATGAAATAAAGACAGGGGCATTGCATACCTCTGCGAATCTCTGCTCCATGGAAATAGGATCAGGGTTGTGATGGGGCTAGCCACAACGTGAGCAGTGCCTACCCATGGGCTAGTCCTCTCAGAAAGCCTGGACAGACGGCCTGTACCCACCTCTTCATGCCGACCTTAAGGACACCTGGTAGCATGGTGGACTGCAGTCTTGGGCTGTTCAGCACAAGGTCAGCACTCGCCCTTCCCAGACCCTCTGGGAGACAGATGTGACTTGGTGATCACGTAAAGATTCACAGTCGGGGAGACAGGGTCGCTGTGAGTCAGAACCAAACCACATCACAGAAATCAGATCACCTCATGGGAGCTAGAACATCTCATGGACACTTAGCCCAGTGTGAGGTGCACTGAGAGAGAGAGAGAGAGAGAGAGTGTGTGTGTGTGTGTGTGTGTGTGTGTGTGTGTGCGCGTGCGCTGGGGGACATCTCCTCATGGACAGTTAGCCCTGTGTGAGGTGTACTGAGAATGTGACTGGGGGGGGAAGAAATACATACAACTATACATGTATCTGTTACACATACACACAACTATATATGTATCTGTTACACATACACACAACTATACATGTATCTGTTATACATACACACAACTATAACACATGCACACCCCCCATACACACACATGCTTAAAAACGTAACTGTTTTTACAAAGAAACAAGTAAACATACATTCACAGGTATGGGTGACTATTGTACAGATGCATACACAACCATACACCATGTACACACGTAACTGCGTGTTGTTGTGAAGTGCCGTTGAGTCAGTTCCAACCCATAGCGACCCTGTCTAGGGTTTCCAAGGAGCGGCTGGTGAGCTTGAACCACCGACCTTGCAGTTCAACCAGCTTTGCAGTCTGATGCATTAACCCACAGCGCCACCCCAGGACTCCCTGTAACTTCATAGATACATGTAACTAGATATGCCAGACATTCAGCTGCACACACACACATACCGTGTTCACAGATCCTGAATAGACGGGTGTTGACAGCACGCACACGGGCGCACATACCTTTCCCACCCCGGGTTTCGCACACAACCGCCTTTGGCTGTTGAGTGGCGCTTGTCCGCTCACACGTCACAGTCGCCATTGGGCTGCTGAGTTTGGTGGCCACGGCTGTCCTCTTGGAGAAGGTGGACGAGCAGTCCCCAGAGGCCAGCGTCCTCCCTGAGACCAGCCTTCGCTGTGCAGCCCCAGGCAGGCAGGCTGGGTCAGCTGACCCTGGTGTGGGCTTCCTGGTCAGTCGGAGAGAATGGCGTGCAGTAGCAGCCACCGGGGTTGCCAGCTGCGGATTGTGGTAAGCAGTCACTTGTTCCTGGGATGGTAGTCGGTGCTGAGCACCGTGGCCGTCCGTCTGTCCAGTCGCCCCTGCCTGTGGCTCTCGGGTGCCTGTGGGCCCCTGTTGAGGCGTCTGCCACTCCTTGCTGAGTCACTGTGCACTGAGTGTCTGGCCTCTATTTTTAGCTCTGCTAGGCCAGCGAGGGCAGGGCCAGCGGAGTGCCTCGTCCTGCTGCGGCTGTTACCCTCACACGGGCCTGCTGGTCACTAGGGGAAGCAAGTGGTGGTGACACACCTTCACTTGGTGGTGTCCACTGTGAAAGGATCTTCTTTCACCCTGAGAAAGTTCAGTCACGTCTGAAAGGTCACCTGTGTCCACGCTAAGTAAAGGCAACTCTTGTTGGATTCGGGGTGTGAACTCCCCCAGGAGCTGCCCACAATGTGCGGGCTGGGGTCTCTGGGTACTCGGGCAGAGCAGTGCCCTGTCATGTTGTCTACCCTGGGCTCCTGAGGGCCTGGCTGTGAGGTGGACCGCGGCTCTCAGCCCTGAGCCATGGGCGAGGCCTTGCTCCCAGATATGGTGGACCAGGCTTTCGGATGCTGACTGTTTCTTTGGGAAAGCATGGTGTTCCCAGTGGGCTGACAGGCATTTTCTTTTCATGCAGAGCTCGGGCATCGAGACTTTGGTGGAGGAGCTGTGCTCCCGGCTGAAGGACTTGCAGAGCGAACAAGGTGAGTGTTCAGGCCCCAGGCCGGGCCTCAGGAGTGGGAGCTGGCCACCAGGCCAGGAGAGGTCCTCTTCAAGGCTGCCGTGTGCGCCTGCACATGACTTTGTGTGTCTCCGTTTCAACGTGTGCTTGTCTTTGTAAGCATGCCCATGGGGGTCTGTGTGCACACATGTTCGTGTGTTTATGTGAACATATGTGTGTCTGTATGTAGAGTGTGTGTGCGTGTGAATATGTGCTCACAAATTTATATCTACACATCAATGAGTGTGTGCCGAGTTTCTCTATGTGAGCATGTGTGCATGGATTTGAGTGTGTCTATGAGTGTGTGTCTGAGCATGAGTGCATGTACCAATGTGTCTGATACGTTTGTATGTACATTTTTGCCTGCGTGTCTGTGTGAGCCTTTGTAAGTGTACCTGTGTGTGCATTGGTCTGAGTTGTGTGCATGCTGTATGTGTTGGTGCATGCACCTGTGTGTGCGTGTCTATGTAAGCATTTGTGCATTTGTCTTTGCATGTCTGCATCTGTGTGAGTGCTTCTATGTGCATATATGTGTGAGTGTGTGCATCTCTGCGAGCGAGCATGTGTGTGTGCATGTTCGAATTGGTGCAAGCACTCGTGCATGTACCTTTGCATCTGTGTGAGTGTTGGTGTGTGTACCTGTGCGTGGGTGTATATGAGCATTCCTGTGTGCACCTATTCATGACTGTGTCTAAGTGTTCTGTGTGTGCGCTTGTGTGTACATGTATGTCAGTGTTCATGTTTGTACCTGTGCGTGGGTGCGTATGAGTGTTAGTGTAAGCATTTTGGGGCACATGTATCTGTGTTCCTGTGTGTGCATCTGTCAGCATTGGTGCAGGTGTCTGCATGCGTGTCTTTGTGTTGTGTGGACTTATACATGCATGTATGGAAGTTAGTACATGTGCATGAGTATCTGCGTATTCCTGTGTAGATAGCTATGTGTGTGGACACTTAGTTGTGTGGTAACCCCTGAGTGGCCCCCTTGACTCCTGTTCTGGCTAGCTCTCTGGCTCCCCCAGACGTCCAGTAGCAGAGAGCCGATTGTTGGGAGGACTTTACTTGGCTCTTGGCTCAGACCGGGTCCTGTTGAAGCCAGTCACTGCAGAATCTGCTGGGAAGCTGTGTGCAGAGTGTAGCCTATCGCTCTGATGCCTTCCCTTGGTGCTCTGCCTGATGAGCATTGGAGGCTCTGGGGTCTCAGCTAAGTCCGTGAGGGAAGGGCGACCCCACTTGTCCTGAGGCTCACACAGTCCGTCCCTCTGACTCACAAATGAAGCAGCGGAGGTTTTTCCTGAAGACAAACTGTTTTGGAGTTTGTGTTTTAAGCCCCAAAGTCTACTGAAGTTCCGACGAACGGTCCTTAAGGAGCTTTTATGAACAGGGGATAACGGTCTTCCCGAACTTAGCTTCTAAGACACTGTTTCTGAATTTTGTTTCTTAACAGAAGAGAAGATCCACAAAAAGCTGGAGGGGTCTCCGTCTCCAGAGGCAGAACTGTCCCCGACCGTGAAGGATCAGGTGGAAATGTACGTGTGGTGCTGCCCAATGGGCTGTTTGTTTCTGTGTCCGAGGGTCCAGGAATGCTGAGCACGTGTGTCCTCGACACCGAAGAAGACAGAGCCGGAAACAGGCAGGGTGGTGAAATCCACGCAAACAGGGAAGCTGGTTTCTCTGCTTAGGACTCTGGGGTGGGGGTGGGGCGCTGGATTTAGTTTATCCTCACTGCTACCACCTGGAGGACGGACGGTTCGGGTGATGCCCCCGGTGGAGCTGTGCTAGCCGACCCAAGAGCCTTCGGGCACAAACAAACTACAGATCTATTTTAAATGCCGGTCACTTACTGAGTTGGTGTTCCCTTCTCGCTCAACCTGGGGGCCCTAGAACACGGAGCAGTGCGTGTGAAGCTCACTGTAGTTCTGTGCAGACCACCATGTCATGCTTGACCCTCAGCATTCGGTACAACAGCAGCTTCCTAGTAGCTCCTCTGTCTGAGCACCTGCTCCAAGCCTTGAGCCTTCACTGCTTGTCCAGATAAGAGGCACTGCTGGCTTGGCTGCTGGCCTCCCTGGGCCCCTCCCACGAGTGTCTCCAGGTCCCTAGTGAGGCGCTGTCCGAGGCCACATGTTCACAGCAGCTCGGGAAGCCAGAGTCTGTTTGTAGATGGGGCTGGGCCACAGGGAGGCTGAGTCACCTGCGAAAGGTCACCCAGCCAAGCTGGTGAGTGGCTGAGCCAGGGTTCTGAGCTGAGACCCAAAGGCAGGTGTTTCTTACTCAAAAGCATCCATTCTCTCTGCTCGGTTTGCTTTGTCCTGTATGTTCGCAGTCATTGAAGCTTTGAGGACTCGAGGCTTGACTTACTCTGTGAGTTCTCTTGTCACAGCGCTGTGTGTGGAGGGTCATGGTAGGAGGGTTGCCTTACAGGAGCGCCCAGTCTCTAGTCCCGTGGGTGACTGGGAGGCTGCTTCTCTGTGGGCACTGTGCTTTCCCGCCCCCATGGCCAAGGCACTCACCTCTGACCTGCCTCTGCTCTCAGGTACTATGAAGCATTCCCACCTCTGTCTGAGAAGCCCATATGCCTACAGGAGACCACGACTGTGTGGACCAGGTCCAAGGTCGGCTCCCCTTCCAGCGCCTCATCATCCACAGCCCTGCCAGCCAGCACGGATACTTCCTCCCCCAGGGATGGCCACAGCGAGGGCGAGGCCACCAGAGAACAGCGTGGGGTGGCACACGCCCCCACCCACAACACAGCCCCCAGCAGGAGTCGCAGTGCAAAGGACAGCAAGCTCAGCAGCGGTGCGCCCCCAGAGCCATCTGCGCCCCACAAGAAGCAGGCCCGACACCGGCCTGATGGGAAGGCCCGCCCCCGCTCCTGGTCCTCGGGCTCCAGTGAGGCCGGGTCCAGCTCCAGCGGCACCCAGGGAGAGCCCAGGGTGTCCGTCAAGTGCGTCAAAGTGAGGCACCGTACTCGGGAAACCCGGAACAAGAAGGGGCGAAGTGGGCAGGGCCGGCTTCCAGCCAAGGGCAATGAGAAAGCCGAGCGGGGTGTCCATGCGGGGAGCAGCAGTGGCGGCGGGTCCGTCCTACAGCTGTGCAAGCGGGGGAGGCGGCCGCCCAGGGGGCCGGGGCGAAGAGAGGCCATGGGCACCGAGGGCAGAAACGACCAGCAGTACCGGGAGGAGCCCCTGTGGTACACTGAGCCCATTGCCGAGTACTTTGTGCCCTCGAACCAGAGGAGCAAGCTGGAGACCAGCTACCGCCACCGGCCCGAGCCAGGCGCCAGTAGCCCCCCTGGGACACAGCTCGCGGCTGGCACCTTCATCGACGGTCATTTTGTTGAAATGCCTGCGGTTGTCAGCGAGGCTGCTGCCCTCCGCGGGAGCTCGTTCTGTTCTCCATCGGAGGACGCCACATACCTGGATGACATTCATCTGTCAGAGTTCACACACTTCTACGAAGTGGACATTGATCGGTCCATGTTGGATCCCGGTGCCTCAGAGACAACACAAGGAGAAAGTCGGATCTTGAACCTGATCCAGCAGAAAGGCAGAGAGAGGACAGATTTTGAGGCCGAATGTTGCATAGTGTTAGATGGGCTGGAGCTACAAGGGGAGCGTGCAATATGGACCGATCCCACCAGTCCTGGGTGTGCCGACGGCCTGGCTCACTTCTGGGACAGCTGCTCGTCCAGCTCTGGTGACGCGGACGCCGAGAGCTTCGGGGGAGACTCTCCACCCCACCGCTCCCCGCTCTTTGACGGCGCCATGCTCAGCTCTCACCTGCTGGCGGGCAGTCGGGAACTCTTTTCTGAGATGAAGGAAGGATCTGGTCTCCACTCCTGTTTTTCAGTGTTTGAAGTGCAATGCGCTGACTCTGACCTACCTTTTTCTTTTGAAACACTCAATTTGGGAAGTGAAATTGCAGATTCTAGCGGTAGCCTACTTGGAAAAACGCAATCTAGATTGCTAATATGGACCAAAAATAGTGCCTTTGAAGAAAACGAACACTGTTCCAATCTGTCCACAAGGACATGCAGTCCCTGGTCCCATTCAGAAGAGACCCGCTCCGACAACGAGACATTTGGTGTCCAGTTTGAGGAGCCTGGCCAGTTCAGTGCCGAGGACGTCAGCTACGTCGGGCCTAGAGTCTCATCTACTTACGTAGAGGAGGAACTTCTCGATTGTTTGCAAGATGAAGCCTGCCTACAAAACCATAGAACTCTGGGAGAAATTCCTGCAGTCGTTTTCAAAACGAAATCAAAACTAGAATCTGTCTGTGGAATTCAGCTGGAACAGAAACCTGAAGGCAGAGACTTTATGGCCGCACGGGGCTGTGGGGAGGGCAGTCCAGGCGGGGTCATGAAGAGCATCTGGACACATGTGACAGCTGCGGCAGAGGCGGGCAGGATGGATGGTGAGCTGTTCTCTGCAGACGTGCGTGACTACTGCTGCTGTCTGGATGCTGACGTGCAGGCCCCAGGCCACCAGGAGCCCAGCAAGGCCGTGCAGAGGTCGGAGTACCACCTGTGGGAAGGGCAGAGGGGGCGCCTGCCAAAACCCATGTTCGCCCCAGGTGAGCCGGCCGAGGTGGACGGGGGTGACTACACCACGCCCTCGAGGCCCTGGGACACAGCCCAGGAGAAGGAGAGCACCTTCCTTCTCGGGGGTGTCTACGGAGAGCTCAGGGCTTTCAGCAGCCAGGGGGAGTGGGCCGTGGTACCGCCTGCCGCGCCCCGGGGCAGCCTGCTGCAGTGTGCCGCCTCTGACGTGGTGACCATCGCCGGCACTGACGTCTTCATGACTCCTGGAAACAGCTTTGCTCCTGACCACCGGCAGCTGTGGAGGCCCCTGGTGTCCTTTGAGCAGAGTGAACCGCCCAGGAGTGGGGAGAGCGGGTGGAATAAGGGGTTTTCTTTCATCTTCCATGAAGACTTGTTGGGTGCGTGTGGTAACTTCCAGGTGGAGGACCCTGGACTCGAGTGCCCCTTCTCCTCCTTGGACCTGGGCAGTCCACTCGCTCAGGTCCTCCATGTTGAGTGCGCCTTGGAACCTGAAGGCATGGCCTCATTCAGCCCCAGTTTTAAGCCCAAGTCCATCCTGTGCTCTGACTCGGACGGCGAGGTGTTCCACCCCAGAACGTGCAGTGTTGACAGGACTCAGTACCGGGCCATCCGCATCTCCCCCCGGACCCACTTCCGCCCCATCTCCACAGCGGACCTGTCCCCAGGTGGGGGCAGTGAGTCCGAGTCAGAGTCTGAGAAAGATGAGCCCAGTGTCCCCGTCCCTCCTCAGGTCAGTACCTTCCCCGACCCCCAGGCCGACCTCAAGCCCCTGGAGGAGGACGCCGAGAGGGACAGCCATTACTACGGCAAGTCGGAGCTCGAGTCTGGGCGGTTCCTGCCCCGGCTGAGGAAGTCGGGCATGGAGAAGAGCGCACAGACGTCCCTGGACTCCCAGGAGGAGGCAGCGGGGGGCTTGCTGCCGGGAAGGCGGAGCCCGTGTCTGGAGTGCAGTGCGCAACGCGAGACCCTGGACACAGAGCTGGGGGGCTCGGGAGCAAACTGCAAAATAATGGCACAATGCGAAGAGGAGCTGAATCCCTTCTGCGGTCGTGAAGCAGATTGTCAGTTTCCTGCTTACCAAGATGATGTGATGTCTTCAGGACGACTAGACAAGGTCTGCGAGGTACGAGTCTGTGAGTCTGTGTGTGTGCGCGTGGTTGTGAGAGCAAGAGTGCGTGAGGAGATGTGACCCAGAGTCGGTTCTGTCAGACAGCAGGTGACAGGTGTGTGTGGCGGGCCGTTATCTCCCACCTGGTGTTGCTTGGGCTTCATCATCTAGTGGTAGACAGCACATTTGGTGTGGATCAATTTGAGCTAGAACGTAGACTTCTCAAAAGCCCTGTAGGTGAGGAGGAGGCTTCAGGAAGTGATCCTGGAGCTGTGCCCTCCTCAGCAGCAGCCGCCAGGTCTCGCTTGAGCCCCGAGCCAGCTCACGTGTCATGTTGTTTGGCTGGGTCGTCTCTGCAGGTGCAGGGCCTGGCCGGGCTACACGGGGCTTGGCACGGGGAGCATGTGCGGGATTCTGTGTGCGTGTTGATGCTGGATGTCACTGTCCTCCTGGGATGGTTTCTGGGATGGCGTCCTGTTTCCCGCGTCCCCTGCCCTTTCCTCACTCTGCATCACCCACCTGCACCGGAACACAGCACCCCCTTCCCTTCCTTTTCGTACCTTTCATGTAAACCTTTATGTGTGTGCTCCGTCTTCCCTGCCTGCCCTCCACCTAGACGGTAAGCTCCTGATGGGGCCCCAGCCGACCCGGGAGGGACAGGGCTCTGATCCCCTTGAAAAGCTGCCATCTGGGTGGTCTCCTGCTCAAACATTCCTTTACAGCCTCTGTGTCTCACCTGGTTCCAGATTGGGAAGAAAGAAAAAGAGGAAGGAAGCAAGCCTCTGCAGCAAACCGTTACCACGTCCCTTCACTTCCTAGTATGTTGACATCTTTCTCTGGCTCCTCGGAACTCGCGGTGTGCCTCCCATAAACTCCCTGAGGACCTTTTGGGGATCCCTGGTCCCCAGGAATCATCGGCCCTGAGAGTGGAAGGATTTGGGTGCTCCCGTCTGCCGCTGCCTCTCAATCCAGGGCCGGGGTGCATTCACCCCACTGCCATCGAGTCCATTGGGATTCCTAGCAGCCCTGCCTAGGGTTTCTGAGGCTAGATCTTCACGGGGCAGTTTCCTCTCCCATCTATCTCTCCAGCACCTGGTGGCTTTGAACCACCGACCTTGTAGTGCCTAGCCCCCAGTGAGAGGTACCCCCCTCATATGTTGTAGAGTAGGGCTGTGGCTGCCGCAGGCATCCCTGGGTAGGAGCGAGTATGTCTTTGGTACCCCGTCCGTATCATTGCATGGCGCTCTTCTGGCCTGGCCCACCCCTCGCCTCTGAGGTGCTGAGTTAATGTGGTGATGGGGTGGGGTGAACACTGCAGCAGTGTGAGGTGTTCCCACACAGCAGAAGCGGTCATCTGAGGAGGGCCCAGACCTGCGATGGTCAGCAGAGGGAGGCCGCAAGGTTGTGTACACCGCGGAACGTGCTCCCATAGACTGTGTGCTCCGAGGGGACAGGGAACTGTGCACACTGGGGGTGGGGGAAGGGGAGTACATGCTCCTAGACTGTGTGCTCAGCGCAGAACTAGCCCACCTGGTGGAGGTGACAGATACCAGTGATGGCAGCCTGCAGGAAGTGTTTCTGTCGTGTCAGATATGAGCAGGGTGGGGCGTGCAGGTGCAGGCCCTGGGCCCCTCAGCCCTGCTCTGCCCAGCCCCATGTCGCTGAGCATCAGCAGAGGAGCAAGTTTGAGGCCACGCTTCACCTGCCAGCCAGTCCCTCCTGCATGGGGCTCTGTGGAGGGAGGGGTTGGGGCTGCGAGCTTAGGACCAGGAGCCGCCGTCACTGGGCCGGCCCAGGCAGCCTCGGGGGCTGCAGGAAGGCTGCCATTCCACCTGGTGACGTTGGCAAAAGGCCTGCCCTCCTGTAGTTTTAGCTTGGGAGTGTTTCTGTAAGGTCCTGTGGGAGATGGGGTGGTTTCCCACATACCCAAATGATCCATCACCACTGAGTCCGTTTCTACACCAGGGGCTCCATGTAGGGCATGGACATACAGCCTCTTCTTTGTCCCGTAGAGCGGCTGCTAACTTTGAAATGCTGACCCTGCACCACCAGGCTTCCCACTCAGTGGCATTCTTGTAAAAATGACATGTCCTTGAATAATAGAGTTCTAGACCAAGAAATGTACAGTTTAATGCATAGAAATTCAGGTAGACGAACAGCATCCCTCCTCCATCCGTTTGTATCTCTGGTGCTGGAGTCATGCCACCAGTAGTAAAATCCCAGCAGGGTCACCCTTGGTGGACAGGGTTCTGTGGAGCTTCCAGAGTAAGACAGACTAGGAAGGAGGTGAAACAGACAACTTCTGAGTGGTCAGCCTTATGGAGAGCAGCAGGGTGCCAGAGACAATACGACTGGGGAGCAGCTGCCTGCTCGGCATCCAGTTGGCCACAGTGATAGGAATGTAGCAAAGCCCTTGGGACCTTCGTTTGCTGATGAGGAACAGCTGCAGACAGCCACTAATAACTGGAATGTGGAAAGTTGGGAAGTCATCAAAAATGGAGTATATAAAAGATTGGTATGTACAAGTATTGGCCACTTTGAATCCAATAATTAACAAGGTTTGTTATGTCCACAACACAGATTGTTGAGGAATGGCGTCATGTACGCAAAAAGAGCATTTCGGGGTCTACCTGAAAGTACAGTGCTTCCTGGGATAGGGTAATACCTCTATGCCTACCAAGCCAACTAGGTAACACTGCCGTTATTTACATTTGGGCCCCAACCAGTAACACCTAGGATGAAGAAATTGGAATGTTCTTCCAGCATCTTCTGTCTGAAGTTGATCAAGCATGTAATCAAGATGAATTGATCTTTACTGATGATTGGAATGCAGAGGTTAGAAACAGAGGAAGGATCAGTAGCTGGGAAATATGGTCTTGGTGATAGAGACGATGCTGGAGAGTGCATGACAGAATTCTGCAAGACCAATGATTGATTCATTTCAGATAACTCCTTTGACAAAACAAACGGCGACTATACACAATGGACCTCACTAGATAGAATACATAGGAGTCAAATTCGAGTTAGGAAAGAAAGAAGAGAAAGCAAGGGATGTCAGAAGAGACTCTGAAACTTGGTCTCTACCATAGAGAAGCGAACACACCTGGAATACATAATGAATTTTCAGGAAGGCAAAAGGAAGTATTGTAATGAAGTGTACAAAGGCCCGGCTTTAGATAGCAAAAGGAAGGAAGATGCTCTCAGTGTTTCTTAGATTGAAAGAACAAGGGAAAAAGGAAAGGATTCTACGGGCAAAATATTGAATGATGCAGGAAGCATCAAAACAATTTGGAAGGGACACACAGAATCATTGTATCAAAAAGAAATGGTCATTGTTCAATCATTTCAGGAGCTACCACATGATCCAGAACCCATAGTACTGAGGGCAGAAGTCCAAGCTGCACTAAAGAGGCAGGACCCCAGGAATTGTTGGGACACAAACTGAAATGTTTCAACAAGGCGCTCACTCACCTCTGTCAAAAAAAATTTCAGGACGACTACCTGGTCAACCGATTAGAAGAGAGCCGTGTCTGGGAGCGTTCAAAATCATCAAACAGTATTACTGTCACAGGCCAGTAAAATTTTGCTGAAGAGAATTTAAAAATAACATCTAGAGGGGGCTTCCAGAAGTTCAAGCCAGATTCAGAACAGGATGTGGAATGGGCGTTAATCATTACTGACATCACATGGATCTTGGCTGAGAGCAGAAAACACCAGAAAGATGCTTATTTATGCTTTATTGGCTATGTGTGAACCATGAAAAGTTAGATATTTAACTGTGCCCATGAGGAGCCTGTGCATGGACCAAGAAGCAATCATTTAAACAGAACAGGGGATGCTGAATGGTTTAAAGTCAGGAAACGTCTCCCAGGATTGTTTGCTTTCAACATAGTCAGTCTGTATGCTGAGCACATAATCCGAGCAGCTGGATTCTATGAAGAAGACCACGACATCAGGATTGGAGAAAGACAACATCAACCGCTTGAGATTTGCAGATGACAGCCCCCTAGTTTGCTGAGAGTAAAGAGGACTTGACGTCTTTGCTGATGAATATTGATGACTTTCGGTCTCGATTGTCGCAGTATCAAGAAAATGAAAATCTTACCCAACTGGATCAGTGAACAGCATGACAAATTGTCGAGACCTGGCCTCAACACCAGAGTTTGGTTCACGAAGTAGGGAGATTTGGCGGTGACAGAGATAGAGAAAAAGTACACACAAAGACACAACAAGAGAGACACGTAGACACCGCGGAACTAGAGTGGATGCGTAACTGGCGTCAGACAAATCCTGCATTGTAAACATTTTGGCTATGCATGCCGTTTGCACACCTTGCCAACTGCAATGCCTGCCCGTACTGCAAACCGCAACGCATGCCTTGCCAGCTGTAACGCATGTGGGCTTTGGTCTGTGCCTCCGTTTTATTTTGGGGAGGAGCTTTACACAAAGGAAGGCGGGGTTTATTAAGACGGGGTACAGAAGTGAAATGTGATTAACCTAACCGTTCAACACAGGACACAGTGATTTACAGGAATCAAATTCTAAAACATACATCACAAATTGTCTTGATAATCTAACATCCTTAATTTTCCAGAAATTCAAGCAAATTTATACAGTACTTTTCAGGTTCGAATCCCAGGGCAGCAACTCGGTTTATCCAGGCTAATTAACATACCTATAGCACCTAATCTCAAATGGGAACAGGTGAAAAGGATTGAAAGGAGTCCCGCTGTGTCGGCTGTCTGGAGGCCTGCAGGAGGAAGCAAGACGCCTAGCTGAATGGTTTGCACCTGGGGTTGAACTGGGATGGCAGCCACCTATTATTCTTTAGACAAAGCCCCAGAATAGCCAATCTACTGAGTTAATTCCTTGGGGGAACCTTGTCTCCAGAGCTTCCCAGCAAACTTCTTTTTGGAGCTTTTTACAGTCTCGGCTTTAGGAGCAGTTTAATATTTGTCCATGGGTATCAAGGGCTCACGTGTTAAGTTAACATCAAACATAACTGAATAATTTGATAAAGAACAGTTTGGACGAGCGTGCCCAATGGCCAGAGTTTGTTCCTCAGATTTGTTCCCAGAACACCTTAAGCACTGCCAACACAGTGGAGACATTGAGAGAGGCACGTAAGAAACCATTTTCTCAGAGGCTACAGGTACAGGGGTTCGAAGCATAGCACGAATTAATAGGACTAAAGAGAATCATACAGAGCTAGCCCCACAGTGAGTTTGTAAAAGCCAATGAACCCGGGACGTCCGTAGGGTACTTCCTTGAGCCCTCAGGGTTTCTGGCCAGCAAGTCTGAGCGCGGCCACATGCTGGATTTTTGTCCATGACACCGGTCCTCAACACCCCAGTACCTGCAGTCTGCAACAACAAATAGAGAAAAGATAGACACTGTCAAAGACTTCACCTTGCTTGGTTCCCAAGAAATCAAGTGACAAAATTAACCGTGTTGGGCAAATGTGCTGCACTTAGGTGCACTTGACCCAGGCCCCAGGGTATGTTCAGTAGCCTCGTGTGTGTGACAGTGAATAAGGAGGGTCACAGAAGGATTGATTCATTTGAATTGTGCTGGACTTTAAAAGCGAGGACGTGTTATCCGGAGTGGCCAGTCCCTAGAGAAGGACATCCTGGAGTGTCAGTGGAAAAGAGGAAGACCCCATGCCATGCACTAACAGTGGTATCAGCAATGGGCTCAAACCTGAGGAGTGTGTCAGTGTTTCGTTCTGTGGTACGTGGGGTCACTATGAGTCAGAACGGTTGGACGCCACCTGACAAGTGGGCAGAACAAGTCAGATTTTGTACCTGAGCAGAGGAATTGCGGTGGTGCAGGTAGTTAGAGGGAGTGGGGTGAGTGTGTGGACGAGCTGCCCTGACCCTGGCACACAAGGCCACCGTTGTTGAGTGACCATCCATGAGGCCCACCCCCCAGCCCTGGCTGTCCCGACCTCCCGTCATGCGGCGTTTTATCCTTTCTCTCCCTCCGCTGGCTGCGGCTTGGTTTACTCTCAGTTCTGTCTGCTCTTACCTGTGGAGTCTGTCATGTGGACGGTGGGCCTTGACACTGCCTGTGAGCCCCCATCTCTCGCAGAGTCTGCCGTCCAGCGCTGCCATCATGGGTCACTGCTGTACCCGTCTGTGTCTGTCTCGTAAGAGCAATGCTTTTTCTTGTTGTCTGTCATGTAAATGTTTCTCAGGAAAACGGTTTTTTCCTCTGAGCCCATTAGGTTTGGTCAGTTTAGGCCTGGGTATATAGCCTGTAATGACCGCTCAAATGCTTCTTTCCCCCGAATGTTCGCTTGTTAAACGTCGCTGTGTTTGACTGAATCCACGCAGTTTCCTGTGTTGAACACGGACGTGCAGGGAACCAGGAGACAGCAGGAGAAGCCCATCTGGTGGGAGAAAGCCCTCTTCTCTCCTCTCTTTCCTGCGCCCCAGTGTGAAGGTGAGTGGTGGGCTTGGTCCCTGCCTCAGTCCGCCCGCCGCACCGAACATCTGCTCGCTCATTTACTCACTCACGTGGTCACCAGCTCATCCGTCCGCGCTCCCTCAGTGAAGGGCTCCTGGGTGCTCTGCTGGGACCCATCCAGGAAGTGTGTGCTGGCTGCGGGAAGCTGGGAAAGCTGGGCTTTGTGGATTTTAGCAGGGGCACAGGTCTGAGGCCCCTCCAAGGAGCCAGGTCCACTGGGCTCAGCCAGAGCTAGCTAAGACTACAGAGGAAGCAGCGGGAGGGCTGGAAGCTTAGTGGGCAGAACGACTGTCACACAGCCCTGAGAGGGTGGGCAGAGTAAGGGTGTGGGCACAACCGTCGGCCGCATGTGGCTGCTGCTGTGACATCTCCCCTGTTACCTGTCTCCTCTCCCATCACAAACCCTCGTGGAAACCTAAGGCTCAGGCCCTGTTGTCTGGTGCCCAGAATCGGTCAGCTGGGGCCAGAAGGCAGGGTGTTGGCGGTCTTCTGTGTGGTTGGCAGCAGCTGTGTGCCCAGTGCAGGTAGACACCAGATGACAGCGGCACCAAGCTGGGGCGCATTTAGCAGGAAGGCCCTAGGATGGTGCGTGGCCCCGGCCCACCTGGGTCCCTGGCTGCCTCTGCTATGACGTGGGTGGCTAATTGCTTCTGGGAGCCACAGTCCCACCTCCTGGAGTCAGAATAGCACTGCCCCTTCCCAGTCCTGTCCCTAACCCACACAGGACCCCAGACAGCACGGGGAAGGTTTCCCTCAGCCTGTGAGCGTGCCTCCCCGACACAGTAGTCACCAGGCAGGTGTGTCTTTGGGACAGAGAGAGAGGGGCATGTCCTCCCAGTGCTCAGACATGGTGTCCTGTGTGGCTGGCCTTACAGTACAGCAATACTCTGCAGTGTGAAACACTGTCTGCCCCACAGTGTCGTTCTGGGGAGTCTGACTGTCTTCCCACCCCGTCACCTACCTACAGTGTTAATGCCTCTCAGCTGGCAGGCATCATTTGGTGGGCTGATGGGTGGAGGGCTGTTTGTCTCTGTGTTTTAAGAACAGCCTCTTAGGTGACTCCTCACTGACACACACCTGGTGAGTGACGATAGCTGCCCACTCAGGTGACCGCCCAACTCTAAGAGCCAGGGGAGTGACCTTCCTCTTTTCTCTTTCCTATTTGCCCCAATTCAGAATGTTACACTGATGTGAAGGGAGAGAACAGTGTTGACTTCCCAGATGTCAAAGACATGTCCAATCATGAGTGCCCACTGGACTTCAATAGGGTAAGTGGACAGCCCTCTCTATTCATAAGGTGGGTAGCCACTGTCCCTTGTCACCTGGGGGCCCTCAGCTTGGTGTGAACGTCCTCTTTTCTCACATGTGCCATAGAACCTTCCTGAACAACTGAGCCCTGTGTGGACAGTGGGTGTGGGGCCCGGGCTGTCTCATCCCAGCCCTCCCCTTAGGCGGCATCACCCATCAGCACTCGAGGCCCCCATCCTAGTGTCGTCACTGGTGGTGGCCAGGCCCAGCTCACGTCCTCCGGAGCTGCTGCCCGCCTGCAAGTGACTGCCCAGACCAGGTCCCCATCTTTCACGGTACCTGGCTCGCCTGGAGCTTCACCCCATCCTCCCACAGAGCTGTCCTCAGCTAGAGTGGTCACTCCGACCTCAGACCCTGCCAGGGTCAGGGCAGCCTCTCTGCAGTGTCCACAGGGAGACCCCTCAGCCCGGTGGCTGCCTTTCTCAGCCCATGTGACACACCGTTGTGAAGGCTGCTGTAAATGCGCTGTGGAGCCGCAGCCCGAAGGTGCTGAGCACACTTAGCTCCCCACGTAACCATCTGCAGGCACTTCACTGCACCAGTGAGCCCCCGGCCCAGACTCAGCCAGTCCTGCCTGCTCGGTCACTGGGAGCCCACTGCTACCCCTCCCGTGTCCAGGAGGTTCAGTGCGGATCTTGGGGTCCTAGTGATGACCTTCCCCTCCACCCCGGCTTTTTCTTGAGGGTAGTCCGATCGCCTATGTGTTTCTGAGATGGCTCATTTTATAGCCAGCAGGATGGCAAAACGAACGATTCACAGTTAGCCTGTTAAGAAGCACTCACAACTCACCACCTCTTATCTACACCTGTCAGGAAGATGGTGTTTGGGGGCAGGTACAAGACTGTGGCTGGAAGAAATATGAACTACATCATGCTCCCTTACCCCCGTGCCTATGGTGGCCCTGCAGTCCCCCTCCCCTGGCCTGGGGTGGGCAGCCATGGGTCCCGGGCCTTTGCCAGACCTCGCTCTGCGGGGGGCACTTCTGAAGTGTAGAGAAGGGGTCTCCTCATCACTGCTCCTGGGAGGTAGTGTCCGGATGTGCTACATGCCAGCTCTGACTCCTTATCACCATCGAGCAGAGGGGACTGGACTTCCAGAAGGGTCTCTGACGATCGCCAGGTCTTTCCTTACTTTAGCTAGCACAGCCCAGCTGCTTTTCGAGTACCATGGATCCACGCGGGCCCACAGGAGCACGTCTCCAGGCTTCCTCCTGGGGCACTTGGGCAGGGTCCACTCCGAGGCTGGGTCTCACCCTCTCTGTCTGACCCTTCTGTACCCTGTGTCCTCTGAGTGACTGGACACACCATGCCCCTGCAGCCCCTGTGGGAGGGCACCTTGTACCGGCGCCAGCTGTGTCTCTGTCCGCAGGTGTCCTCCGTGTATGAAGCCCGGTGCAGTGGGGAGAGGCTCTCGGGAGCACAGGCACATGGCTTCCGCAGAAAGGTGGGCTCCGGCAGCAGCTCAGCCGCAGACGACACTGGCTCCGAAGACACCGGCTCGGAGGGTGGGGGTGGGTGGGCGGGCCGCAGCCAAGAGGAGCTCTTTTCTCGAACTCATTTGTGAACCTGCGCTGTGAGCGCTGAGGCCTTGTGAGGGCTGTTAGTTCTAAGCCCACTGTAGGCTCCTCTTGGGTCACCGGTCCAGTCGGTAACTCTCTCCTTGCTTATTTTAGAGTTGAGGACAACTCTCCTGTGGAAGGCGTTTCCCAGCTGTTCATTCTTGGCTATTTGAAGTAGACTAGCCTGTGTTGTCCCGTCGGGATGGGGTGCATGTGCTGGTGTTAGGAGCATTGCCGTGGTGCAGCCGCGTGTCTGCGCAGCCTGTGGACTGCCGGCTGTGCACGCAGCTGTGGACGCGGGGCCCCGGCAGACTCGTGTGCATTGGTCTTGGGGGAGACACCGGCTGCTCATTACCACAAGTGTGGGCAGCAGAGTGGGCCAGCCGCTGGCCCGAGCAGTCCTGCTGATGACCGCAGCTGCATTCTTTCTGGAGGTGACTCAGTCCTCCGGCTCTGATGGTCTGTCTCGGGGCTCCTCTTGTGTTTGTTGGACAGAGTGTCTGGGCGCGTTGTGTGTGTGCGTGCGAGAGAGGGAGAGGCCATGCTGACCGGGCCCTCCCCTTCACGGTGCGGGGGCCGCTTTGGCAAACCCCACACATTTCGCTTGTTCTCCTGTTCCCACGGCTCCTTGTGAAGCCTAGGGGGAGCTGCAGAGGTGGCAGGGAGGGGCTCTGGGCTCCCAGCTGGCCCCGTGGAGCATTGGGCTCCGTTGCCTTTTTCTTTACCCATGACCCAGAAGATGGCATTGGAAGGGGGGGCATTGTGGGGTCCCGGACAGGGTCTCTCCCTGCGTGAGGGGCTGCTGCTACCTATTGACACTTTAAAGTTGGCTGTGTGTGTGTGTGTGTGTGTGTGTGGGCGTGTGGACGGCTTTGTGTCTCTGTTATTTATTTACAGACTTCTGATAAGTTCTATGTATTTTCGTTTCTCCGGGAGCTTCCTAAAACTTGAGCAGCCTCTTCACTGAGATGGAAATGAAAGGCAAACGTGAACTGGGAGGGTCATCCCCGGGGTCACACCCGACTGTCCCAGAAGCCATTGCTCGTAGCAGAGACCAAAAGGCATCGCGGGCTGGCCGTGCGTTCTGTGGGGTCTGAATGGCTGCCTCCCCGAGAGGCCCCAGGGGCAGCAGCCACACGCAGTGTGTTTGTTTGTTTTCATAGTTCAGTGGCTGAAGCTCAGACACCTTCGGCAACACAGTTGAAAGCGTGGTTTTAGTTTGGTGAGTGGATGATCACAAAGAAAAAGCATGAAAAAAAAGTTGGCAAAACGCCGAGCCGCGCTGTGGTATGACGCGATTGCACGCCCAGAGTCTTGGGCCATCCTCCGTCGGGCCCAGCGCCCGGCTGTGTCGATCTGGTTTCACGTTCACCAGAGGAACTGACTTTTCGTTTTCTTGTGGAGTTAACACCAAATAAAAAAAAAACTAAAAAGCAGTCTGTTGTGCTTACTTGTCACAGCAAAGTCTTCTGTATAAAACCTCTGTGCCACGTCTGTGCGTGAGCAGGGGGTGGTCCATGACCCTAACATTGTACCAAAAGGAGGATCGTCAGTTCTCCTCTTGAGCAGCTGCTGCTGAGAACGAATGGGCCCCTCTGAGTACACACGCCACATACATGTGTGTAGCATGTACACACAAGTGCACACGCCACACGTACATGTGTGTACCATGCACACACTGCACAAGTGCACCACATAGTGACCGAGACCCCCACAATGCCCACCCTCTCTTAGACACTGAGCGTTTCTCATCCTGTGTTTCCTCCGGGAGGCAGTGTCCCCTTGCAGACCTGATGCAGGTGAGGCTGGGCTGGGGAATGCAGGCCTCCTTACTGGGAAACTGCAGAGCACCTTGGGCCTGTGCAGTCCCCCGCTCTGCTCCGTTCCGCTCCCCTCCTGGGCGCCTGCCTCTCTCTCCCCAGAGCTCTGTGAGTTGGCACGCGGGCACATTTAGAACTCACTCCCTCACTCCTGCCCCCAGTTGTTCCCTTGGTGGCGCACTGCCTGGTTAACCAAGGTCTGCGGTCCAAGCCCACCAGCTGCTCCGTGGCAGCGTAGATACTAAGATCTTGAAAAGCCTGTGGGGCGGGTCTGCTCTGCCATGTATGGTTGCAAGGGATCGGAATCAACTCGACCTCAGCAAGTTTAGATTTTTTTGTAGGTGCAGATGGGGTCCAGGAAGGTCTTGAAGGAGTGAGGGTCCCAGCCAGGAGGTGGTTTGGGGCTGGGACTTTAGCACCAGCTGATGCACGGCCAAGCAGCGGTAGGATGTTTGTAGCCTTCCAAGGTGATGGTCTGGTGTTTCCTCCCTCCCCTGGAGTTTGTCAACCATGGAGGTCTACTAACATAAAAGTGATGGCCAAGGAGCTACTGTGGAGCCATCAACAGACTAGGCCGCCGGATCCCAGCCTCTCAGTACAGAAGCAGGCATAGAGCCGTTTGGGGTGGGGAGAATGACTTGGGCAGGTCTATACTGGGCCCAGGGACTGAAAGCCAACAGCCAGCCTGACCCGAGAACTGCTGCTCTGAATTCGGACTTGTAGCTCCTGAGCTGAGAGAATGTCTGCTCGCACTGGCCCTCAGCCACATCTGGACACTGGGGGCGGGACAGGTGTGCACAGTCTGACGTTTCACATAGCAAGGCCAGCATGCGGCGTGGGTCGGCAGTGCTGCAGACCCCGCCCCAGTCCGGGCGGCCCTCTGCCTTCACCAGGTGGGCAGTTTCAACTCACCAGCCACTTCTCGGAGACCCTAAACAGGGTTGATAAAAGTGACTTAGTGGCACATACTTTCTTGGGGTGGGGTAGCGGCATCCCTAGCCCCCAAGCAGATGTCAGTGATAGGTGTGACAACCAAAAACGTGCAGACATTACCAGATGTCCTCTGGGAACAAAATCACCCCCTCCCCCATAGAGAAGCATTGTCTGAGAGGTGCCCAGGAATTTGTAGGGAATTCTGAGCATGGAGGAACAGGCTTATAAATATGGCTTGGGGGTCACGTCCGACGTCCTCCATGTTCACAAGCAGGAAGGAGAGTCAGACTCACCCAGCACAATTCCGATTCCTCTGAAGCAGGGTCAGCCATAACCTCCACCCTTCAGTCTCTGCCCTCCCACAGTGCAATGACCACACAGAGCACACAGTAATACTTGAGATTCTGGGCTTCATTAGGGATGTGGACCGGGTACCATTCAGGAGCAGAAACCAGGAGGCCCGCAGCTGTTCTATGCACCTGGAGATGTCACACACCACTCCTGGCTCGCTCTTGGTCCTGGGATCACCTGCTCCTGCTTTTAAACCCAGTGGGATAGCAAAACGAACCAATCCCAGTCACTGGGGAGCCCTGACGTGGCTTCTTAGGATAAGCACTTGACCTCAAGATCGGTGGTTCGAACTCACGAGCTGCTTCTCCGAAATCCTAAGAGGGTCGTTATGAGTCAGAACTACCTTGGCAGCACTCAACACCACTACCACCTGGTCACTTAGGGAGTCTGGGTGTGGTGCCATAGGGTCAGCACTAGACTGCTGACCGCAGGGTCACAGTTCACACCCATCAGCTGTTCTAGGATAACCTATGCAGGAACCAAGTTGACTACACTGAATGACAGCAATACTGGGGCTTCTGCCTCACCCCCTTTCAGGCTCTTTGGGAGGGTGGCAGGGAAGGGGGCAACAGGGACCATACCCGCACACCTGGCTGCAAGTTCCTCCCATCAGTGCCCTGCATGGGGGCAGAGGCAGGACACTGCCCTGGCTGAGCCCCAGATCTCCTCTTTGTCATACATCGGGAGAAAGTGAAGGCACCTCATTGCTTCAGGCCTGTGAACCACAGGGACACCCACCCACACAGCATCCAGGAGCAAGCAAGCACGAGAAGTACAAAGTAGACATGGAAAGGGGCCCCAGAGCGTTTCAGGGGTTCTGAAAATTCCAGAAAGGAACCCTGTTGACAGCGGGCTGTTAACCAGGAGGTTGGCAGTTCCAAGCCTCCAGCTGCTGCTCAGTCTGGCTGCTCCTGTAAAGATTTGGGCTTGGACACCTTAGACGGCGTTGCATGAATTGGGATTGACGCGATGGCATTGAGTTTGGAATTTGATGGCAATTCCAGGAAGTCCCTGGGGTTCGGGGGGGGGAGGGGGCTGCTGGGGTCCCAAGGATTCCAAGGGGGGTGTGTGGGCAGAGATAAGGGCACAAAGGCACTGAGGGGGGGTCGGGGACCTGTCACCTGCAAGTGCGTGATGGCCGAGGGTGGGAAGGAGCTGGCCCGGGGACTCCTCTCTGCGGCTTTTCCACAGAGCCCTGGAGAGGCCGGCTCTGGGGATAGGTGGACTCTCCTCTCTGCACTCACTCAGTTCTCACTCTTGGACTCCACCAGCCTCAGTTTTGGATGCCCTCCCCTCCTCCACCAGCCAGGCAGGCCTTGTTACTGTCCTGGATGGACATGTCTTCTCAAAACTTCCCCCCACCATCAGCTTTGGGCTGACTGACCCCACCCCCTCTCCTGACGTGGAGCCCCTTCCAGCTTCCTCTTGATGGCCTCAGTTTCCCCTCTGAGGGGCAGGCCTGGTGACTGTAAGTCCACACTAACCTCGTCACCCATGGGGACCCTTCCCACAGCAACCTCCTGACCACGTAGATGCCTGTGAGGTGGTAGAGTGTCCGCTGGGCTCTCCAGTCCTTGAGACAGGGCACGAGAGACATGACCTTACCGGTGGTTTCTATGAAGATGGGAGTCCTGGGAAGGGCATCTCCCTATGCTGGACCCAGGTCAGGTGTAATGGATGCTCTCTTTAGAAGGGGGGGTGGGCAGCTCGGAAGCTGAACGTCTCCAGGGGGCCCACGGGGAGCCTGGTCCCTCAGAGCCTTGGCGGCTTCATCCTGTTTCTCTACGTTGCTACAGGAGCTCACCAACACACCAGAAACTGATGGTGTATTTGCAGATATCCACACCTGAGTCCTGGTGTAGTGCTGCAGGACAGACCCTAGAGCGTAGGTGGGTCTGAGC